AAATGCTGGGGCTCAAGAAGCAGCAGCAACCAGAAGGTGAGAGGGGAAAAAGGAGAGTAGTCTGAATCTAAATATTAACCATCTTTCCTACATGACAAAGGAGGCTTGTGCCATTCTGGTTAGACTTTCTATTTTGTATTAAGTCCAACTGACTCAGCTTAGAGCTAGATCCAAATCCAAACTCACCCTAAACTTATTGCAAGAGCACCACAGCTCTGGTCTGGGACCCTCTGAGAGCTCATTTGCCTCCAAGTCTTCTCCATAACAAGGTCTTTCATACTACTTTTGAAAACCTCTAAAAATGATGCACCAGGCATCCATCTTTGATGGATAAAAGCTACTCAGGGATTTGACTAGTATTAGGACCCTTCCCACCCAGGACTTGAAATTCAGGCATCCCTTACAGCTACCACTGTTGGAAAGAACAGCAAACTAGTCTGCAATTTTATACTCCTACTATAGAAGCAGCAGCTGGCTTCTACTTAATCATCCCCTTCAAAACAGGATCCATTCCCCCTTTTACTCCAGTAAGCTTTTCTCCTTAATAATGCAGGAGGCCTGCACCATGCTGCATGGGTTAGCATAGCTCAGGTCAGAGAGCTATTGCACTCTGTTCCTTGCAAGATTGTCACATCCAGACACACAAACAAGGGTCCCTGGGCTCCGTTAGCCCCTACCCTCCACTTTTAACCAGCATGAAGGCCACATTTTGCTCCCAGTTCTCACCTGTGTATCTGCAGCTGCCCCAAGCAATGGAAAAAACCTTCCACTCTCCCTGAAGCTGCAGAGGTAGCAATCTTTGCTGTGCCTCCACTTGCAGCAAACAGGGGCACAGTATATTAGCTCCAACTTCTTTCTATCAAGGGGAAAGGGACACAGGCTAAGAAGATGCAGTATAAGCAAGCCCTGGGTACTTAAATAAAACACAGAATTTATCCTGACCTTTTATACACACTCCAAGGATGTACCTTTTGGCATATTTTCAAAGTCTGACCTCCTTTCTGATCTTAACACAACTTTGGCAGAATTTCTAAATCTCACCTTTGTCTTAAGCCATTCCCTAATCTTGCAAGCTCTTTTGTGCATTTTGATCTATTTAATAAAATCTTATTAGCTTACACAAAGGAAAAATAAGCCATGCAGCCCTGGAACTGTCAGAATAAGGTACTGCACAGATTAAGGGGCTAATCAAGCTTCAAGCCAATACGTAGAACATACCAAACTCAAATTTTAAAACTAGCTGCTCTTCCCCATTTCCTCCATTTTGATATGATCTCTAATGTAAATCATTTTAATATGATATCTCTTGTAAACTGCCAGTCACTTCTCTCCCCTCCATTTCTCTGCGGCCTATTGCTTTCCATCCTTGTACTTTCCATGCTGCTCCCTCTTCAGCAGTTTGTCTCCTCCTAACTAAGACTGAGTACAAGTCTAACGACTGATTTTTTTCCCTCCGGTTCAATAGCTTAACTTTTACTCTTAAAGATACACGGCATCCTAAATCTGAAAGGTGCCTCAGTGTCATGACAAAGAACAAGTCCTTGGATCAAGCAGAAGCAGGCTCATGAACTTGAACTTAATCTAGATGAAAGCTCAAGGTAATTCATACACAACCTTGTCCCGTTACAGTGGTCATGAAGTCTGTTGCATGTGTGCATCTCACTCAAGCCTCTGGCTGTCTCCATCACAACCTTACCCACTCTAAGTTACTTTAAGTCAAGCTACTATTGTAATCACCATTATTCAGACACTAAGTAACTCAGCTCTGCCTATCTTTGTACTTACACAGTCATGGTGTTTCAGCATCTGAGCAACTCAGACTTAATTCACCATCTTTATTTTGCAGCATAAGAAATAAGAATTTCTTTTTACTTCACAGGAAAATAAAGCTACTCACCCAAACTCACCCAGGCAGAGAACAAAGAACTAAGCCCTAAGTTCATACAAAACCTGACTCTTTCTCTAGCTTATCCCACTAACTTATCCCTTCTGTAGCTCTAAAAATATCTGTAAAGCATATAGTTGCCCCAAGACCAAATAAAAAAAAAATCTGCATAGGCTCCCTCTCATCATAAAGAAGCAGACATGATAGATACGTGACAACTTACATGACTTTGCAGAAAGCAAGCTTTTTCCTCAGAGAAGACACACGTAGATGGCAGACCTGCTTCACTGCTGTGCTGCAAGACACGTTTTCAGGGTATGGGTTCTGGACCATGGCTGTACTTCACAATACACAAGCCAACAGCAGCACTCACACCTCAGGAAAAAAAAATGGCTGAAGAGTACTAAATGCATCTGCCAGCAGGAGAAAAATCTCAGTCTTCTCTGAAAGCACCTGAGAGTTGGAGCCTGGTCCTTGGAAATCCGTCACTGAGAAGTTAACTCCACTAGCAGCATACCCTGGTACCATCTTTTACAGTGAAAGCAGGCAGGCACTGAAGATCTTGGCAATGCCTAGTCAAGACTCCAGCCATCCTCAGCTATGTATTTCTTTCTATTTTTTATCCCAGAGCCAACTTAGCAACTCAGCATCCCTCTACTTTTTGCTGTGGTGGCTTCCTTCAGCACTTTCCCAGATGTACTGAGGTTGGTGCAGATCCTCACTTGCTCTCTCTGCTCTAATCCTTCACATACAGCACAGGCTCCTTCTGCCTTTTGTCAGAGGCTGCATGTCAAGAGAAGGTACACCTTTCAGTGCACACCACATGTTTTTTTGCTCTCCCCTCTGCTGCCCTATTCAGTTTTTGTCACCACTTACAGGACTGCTGAAACCCTGAGTGGTTGTGGTTTTGTTGGGGTTTTTTGTTTATTTTGGGTTTGTCTGTTGGGGTTGTTTTTTGGTTTGTTTTGGTGGGGTTTTGTTTTGGGTTGCCTCTTTTTTTTGCTTACAAGTCAATTGATCAAGTGAACAGAACTGCCTGTAGGTCTTCAACAGAGGCAGAACACTCCAAACCTGTGGTTAGAGGACCTTTTGTTAGTGGTCAAAAATGCCACCACAAGAGCAGTGAGAAAGCCCCTCCTCATTCAATTTTCAAGAGTCTAGGAGATTCAAGACTCTTTCATGTCCAGCTTCACACCTTTCATGAAACTCCAAATGTATTTGAGTTTTGAGTTATTTTTTGGTTAAGTTTCACAAGCGCAAGTCACCAACATCCAAAGGAAGACTGCCAGCAGAGCCTAAGGCAATTAACATTGGAAAAGGAGGGGAAAAAAAAAAAAAGAGGCGAAGATAATTTACTAGCCCTCATATGGGTCACATTTTAGGCCCAGTATCCTCCATGAAAACAGAAGTCACTTCTAATTAAATCTAGGCAGCAGCAATGTTGCAGGTCCCCAATAAAAGACATCATTCAGGCTTACTACCACCGCAGCTCTGCACAAACAAGTCTGAGGTCCAGATAAAACACATCCCTTCCCACCAGGAAGATATTCCCAACACCAGCCTAAAGGCTCCAGTTTACATCTGAAACAGGTAGTGCTTCCAAATTATTCCCTTCTTGCTATGCCCAGAAATCTCCCATCTGAGTATTAATGAAGCCTCACACCGTCTAACCTATGAAATCCCAGATCAAATATTGTAACAGTATACATTACATAGAGGAAGCCCAGGTATGATCTAAGTACCCATCTGCTTTGCTGTCAGATTTTTTTATTTCCTGGTTGAAGACAGTACTCCCCACTCGTCAATTATGCCAGGCTCTGCAGCACCAGAGACTGGTAATTGGAGTGCAACATATGGAGGAAAAGGTTAGCTACACCTACCAAGCGCTAATTCTGAGCCAGACTCCGTTGGGATATTAATTAGCTCTTCAAGGTCAGGATGTTCTCTCAAGTGAGTCAATTCCTCAGATACTTAGTCAGCTGCTACTCAGTTCCTACTCAATCCATTGGCCTTTGACATCATAGTGGGGAAGCCAAGTTCAGTAAGCACTTACCCTACTACACAGTAAAAAAGACCTGACCTCAGAGACAGCTTATGTGGAATAACTGAGTAACAGACCTAAAACAATGCTGTTCTGCAGGACCATGCCCAGATACAAGCCTGGAGAGTGGAAGACACCATTCAGATGCTTCTTGTAATCCACTACACAGCAGCACAAAGGAAGCTGTTCCCAAATCTCAGCATATGCCTCCTGCAGGCTCACTGTAACCTGCAGTCACAAGATCAGCTAAGTAAAATGCAACGTAACTCTTGTGCATGCAGTAACAAAACAATGGGAATTTCAGAAACCGAAGTCCAAATGCAACACTGGACCCCAGGATATTAGTAGGGAAACAGGCCTGCAGGAGCTGGCCCAGGACAGAAAGGTGGTAGTAGCTCAGGGCTCATAGTTCATGCACAGATGAAGAAAAAGCAGGTTCAAGCTCAAAAGATGAACTACAAGATACAGCAAAACTCTTAATCATATGGCTCTGAGCAAAGCAACAATAACTCATGGACGAAAATACACATTCATTTTTCATCAGCTTTTGTGCCAATGCTGCAATTTGAAGTAGTCATTAATCAACCCAAAGTACAAGAAACTTAAGTTTCTTCTGGGACTTCATAACAGTTCTTACCCAGCTGCAACACGAGCTCTAGATACCTCAGGACTGTCTCAACACATGACAAGGGAAATATAACAGCTAAGCTCAATATTGTCTTTGCCGAGGACAAGAACCATACACAAAATCTCACTTCTATGTTTAAGTATCAGAGCTGCCAATGATCAATACACAGCAAGTTTGATGAAGCTATCTAAACCAGCTACAGTTTCAGGGAATGAGTCTCAAACAAATGCAGGGTACCGCAGGAGTTGGATGCATTTGTCCCACAAGTTCTACTTTTAAGTAGATGAAAATTTCATCTTTTTAGACATTGATAAGACCAACATAAGTAACACTTGTGAAACAACTCTGAGCAATACAGGAAAAATAAGGACCTCAACCAGCCCAAACTATGTAATTTCACTGAGTGGTGCCAGGCATTCCCCCAGTTCAGCTGTGAACAGACTTACCTGTCGTCACGCATATGAGGGCTCAAGAATCGGGACAAGTCATCATCGTGGCTGCTTTGCTGGCTGCTCTGCTGACTGCTGCAATATGAGACAGGAAAACAGAAGCAGTTAGACAGATTTGTATAAGTCCCTATGACACACTCTGGTTTCAAGCCAGAACAAGAAAAATCTAAGATTCATACTTCACATTTGGGGGTGCAAAGAGAAAACAACAGGACAGCAAGTTCATACCCGATTTACATCAGACACAACTGCTTTGATGCCTCTTAACCTCACTTAGTGACACTGTCTTAAGAACTCTCCAAAATGCATTGGCTACACAGTGTTTCAGCATGCCATCCCAGAACAGTTTCATACAGCTTATCATTTGAATATTGAACTGCTGCATGTTAATATACCCCCCACTTCTAGGCAGCAGGACAAGACAGCTCTAAAATGAACTCTAAGAATGAAGTAGCCAACACTGAATTTCTAGTGGAGAGTTGCATGCTAAGCCCACAAGATGTCACTCTCTGCCTTTATATGTGTGGTTTTGGGGGTGATTTTTTTTCCCCCCCCCTGCACGTCTATTGTAAGGAGTTTGCCTTATTCCCTTCTGGCAGCCTCCACCTGCTCCAAGGATTCATGAAGGTTCCTGCTTGTCATTTCTATAGCTTCATTTCTTTGAAAGAGCTTTCCTCTGAGCAGCAGATAGACCTGATTCTGCCTTCAGGTAACAGACTACAGAGCAAAGAGCAGATGTTTCTGGGCTAGCTTTTAATCTACTTTGCCTGGGTACCACTGGCTGTGGAGTCATGGCAACACAGCTTCTGCACAAACTGCACGGTCCCACCTGGGACACCGGGTACACTTGCCTGAGCACACAGGTTGTGCTAAAAATGCTGTGGCTTCATTGTTGGCAGGACCTAAACTGTTCAAATAAAACTAGTTCAGGTATACATATGCATACTTGCAATTACAGCTTCTGCTGCACTGTACACAGATCTGCACACCACACTGACCAACAGAAATACGAAGTATCAAAAAGGACCAAATTGCATCTTTTCATTCTAAAAGCAGTAATTGTCAAGGCAGTAATGCCTGTTTGGGGGGAAAACATACAAAACACTGCAATAGGATTTTTCCATGTAGTTTGTTTTGTGGTTGTTTGGGGGTTTTTGGTTTTTTGTTTTTTTTTTTTTTTTTAACCTGGCCTTAACCTTTTTAAGCACTATAATGAGGATCCCATATCTTGACAAAAAAAAAGACCACACATTTGCTGCTGCTGTGCAAGGAGTATTCTCTAACTTCTCTTTCAGTTTCAACAATACTCTCTCTCCCTCTATAAATTAACTTCTCAGAAAAAAATTAACTTTTTTCTTCTGTAAATGTATACTCTATGCTTACAGAAAGAAATTACAGCTACACCTACTAGCTATTACCTACACCTACTTATGTTTTACAACTCAACTACAGAAAGGGTATCTCAAATGGTAACATATGTATTGACTCGAATAGATTAAGTCCCTTGCAAAAAAAGTTTACTTTTACCACCACAGAATATTAACAGATAAAATACTTGAAAAGGTTTAAAAGTTTATAATCTTGTCCTTATCCTTCCTAGGAAGGACAAGATACAGCCAAGCCAGCAGGGGAGAAAGTAGAACCAGCAAGTACCTCAGTGACAGATGAAAACTACACACTCCAGTACTAAACAGCATTTTTTCAGCAAGCCTGTATAAATAAGTGGCTCTAACAAGCCTCCATGTTAACTTTTTAGGGATCTGAACCCCTAAAATTCCTGTCCTCCTCCCCACAAAGCATCCTTCCAGTTAGTTTGTTTTCTTGGAAGACTGTTCATGTGTTTTAAGATAAGCGTATCACAACCCTTTAACATGACCATTTTGCTTCCTTATTCTGGAAAAAAGGGAAGGGGGGGACTTTCTTTTCCACCTATGAAATCACATTTTTTGCTAGAGGGTTTGCCATTTCCTCTGAAAAGAAAGCTGATAAATCTTATTTTCACTTAGTAATTTCAACCACCTTGATTTTGACCAGCTTCTCTGAGGTCTTCAAGGACTCCATCTTATTGAACATGATCTTTCTGAAAAATACAATAGCTGTCTTGGGGACCCACTTAGCATTTGAGACACATCACACACCTGATACTGTCCACTATTTTTGCTGCCTGATCAGAACATGAGACAGAAAACTGTTCCTTATTGTGAAGATAGAAAGAGCAGGCTGAAGGTTCCAGAAGAAAATAATTCCTTACCAGTATTTATAAAATCCTCAAACAAATAATACAGAAGTTAGCCTTTGAGGTTGTACATGCAAAGTTACAAAACTCATGCAATATTTATGACTTTCAGCTACAGATTTAAAGGGTGTGCATCGCACGGAAGTCAGACATGCATCTTGTGTGGGCACATACACACAAACCCACAGAGAATGATTTGCTTGTTTCCCCATTGCACAGCATATAGTTTTACCATCAGAGCCAAGACAGGTAAACATTTTTGCAAAAAGCTCTCAGCAAGGAGACAGATTTAATTTCTGCTCCCATACCCACACATAGTAATTCTTAAGTGTCTCATTGTAGAAAGGATAATCAAAGCATAAGAATTCTGTATTGGCTTCAAGCTATAGATCAACAGCTTGGCAAGAACAACATATCCCATAAACCAAAGAAGCATCTTTCCTGTAACTTCTGAGCTTAACTACGGCCTAGGTTTGGAAAAAGTGCAAAAGAAACTACACCTTCCCTCTAATTCAAAGGAATTATCCCCCTTTTGGTATGACAAAAAGCATGGCAGAGACTATTTCTATAACTGCTTGGTTCTTCATAAAAAAACCTTCCCACAAAACTTAGCCTTTTCAACTCAGATCAAGCAGATATAACAAGACTTACCAAAAGATAATTCCCAATGTATCCCAGCCCAACAATAGCACCTGCAATGCTGGTAATCCCATGTGAAAGTTTACTTTTGGACAACTACACAAGATGAACCTTCGACTTGTTCATGCTCACCCACCCATCATTAAACTTCCCCTTCAAAAAGCCCTCGAAATCAAGGTTTAAAATTTAATGGAATCCAGACATTGCAACACATAGCAATATAAGACCTTAGCCCCTTGTCACTAGCGAACACAAAGTTACAAGCAATGACACAAACTCAGACCAGGAGAGAGAAATGAGCTTTCATGTCCTTTTACATATAATATTCAACATGAGCTATGTTTCACAAGTGTTTTGCATGGAAGCTTTGACAAAGTCTGTGAGCCTTTCACACAAAGAAAATCATTTCAACATTCTGATTATTAGAGAGCACAGCTAAATTCCCTAAAATGTACAGAGCAGTTGAAATGCAGAGCCTATTGGTTTGTGACGCTTTTCAGGCCATTTCAGGTTGACCTGCTTTTAAGATGAGTGTTCCTTTGAAATAGCACAACAACAAATTACTGTTATACTGGAGCTAATGTAAGGGGAGATACGAAATGAATGCTTTGCACTGAAAAGTAATGCGGGGGGGGGAGTTTTTAGATACAGTCATGTCAGTTTTGTATTTACAAAGACAACCAAGATCTCGCTAAAAATATCAGAAAAATCAGCAAAGCAAGCTTATCTCATTCCAAAGCTCAGCAATGATAAACTTTAACTCAGACAAGGCTTAAGTCTTCATGTACACAGGCCCAGTGTGCCCCTTTCTTACAATTTCAGACACTAAGTGCTATTTTAAGGCTTCTACCTTGTGTTTTCTTCCTCAATTCTCATGCACGTATTCAGACACATAACATCACTTGCTACTTTAGAAACTGATGAAGAGTTTTAAATACAGATTAACCATGCCTTTTAACAATTAAATCTTTGAAGAGTCTACTTCCACCGCTCCTGCATCTCACTGCTCCCAAACAATTTACCCAGGTAGCCCAAGTACAAAAGAAACATTTTTTCACTGACTGAAAAACAGGTGTTCTGATCACACCCCCAACTTTGTTCAAATCTGGAGATTAAAAAAAAAATAATCAATTTTGCGCTCTTCGTAAGACTTTCATATACTGAAGAAAAGTAAGAGCCAATTTAGCAGTGGAAGAAGCCCTATATTGCCTGAGCAACAACAGTGTATCTTGATAGGTGTATAAAGGAAAATAAAAGATCCCCACACTTATAAATAAAATTTGTATTCAGCAATCTATTTCTTACTTTCTTAACAATATCAGCTCAGTTGCCAGTTCATCTTTCCACCACATCAGAAGACCCAACCACCACTATACTACAGAAGAAATACATTCCTCAGAATGCTTGTCCTGTTACTTTTCTGCCACGTGCAATTTGTTACAAGTCTTAAATAGCTTTTATTGATTCATGACCTATATACACACAGATACACTTCGATATGCAGAAGAATCATCTTTTCCAAATCTTGCCAGAAGTTAACTTGAACCGACCACAGGTACTAAAAAAGTGCTAAACTTGGTTTTGTGTCTTAAATATTTAAAGATTTCTCCCGCACTTGGTCTTGGGAAGCTATGAGCTATAAGCTAGATCTTGTACTATTCTTATACTCCTGCCTTTTTTCTTTTTTTTTTTAATTAAATCTCATTTTATTCTGATATTTCAGTCTCCAAATGAAAAGGCAGAGTCAAGGTCTCCTATGCATGAACAGGCTTTTAAAGCTAAGCAGGTCTTCTAGAAGGTATTTGTGCAGATTTCAAAAAGTTCAGAAACTGACATCAACATTTGCACAGCAAGGACCTTCTATACCCTCCAGATGTGGGTGATAAACCCACCATACTTTATCTGGAGATAAAATCCAGCGAATTTTTATTCAGGTGAAATTCTTTCAGTCATGGACTAATGAGGCAAGCAAAGAAATGGGGAAGAAATGACTGTATCCTGGAAGACAGAATCAGTTAATGAGTTTGGAGAATTATCCACAGAAGCCTGTGACCTTCAGAAGGCTATTGTTACCCACAGCTATTAGCTAAGTTTTCACATCTGAAACCAGATGAATATTTTGTATTCACTTTGCTTAATTAACCCCTGTATTCATTGGCTTTGGGTTAAGTATTAAGCATTTCAAAAAGGAAAATGGACA